ACAGGCGTGAGCCACTGCGCCCGACCACTCATTCATTCTTTAACACACTCTTAGGTAGCATTTACTGTGGGCTAGATATTATTGTATACTTTTTTTTTTATTAACAGACACTAACTCATTTAATCCCCAACGGCCAATGAGGTAGGGTCTACAATGACCCTTATTTTACAAATGAGAAAACTGAGACCCAGAGGGGTGAAGTAACTTGTTTAAGGTCACACAGCTAAAGGCTTGAATACAAACTAAGGAATTTTCACAAGTCCACACTCGTGTTTTTTTAATTTAATCTTTATCTTCTTTCTTTTTGCGGGAAGGGGCTGGTTGTTTCTATTTATTCTTTAATTGATGAATAAAAATCGTACATACCTATAGTGTACAACTGTGACGCGTTGATATAACCAGTAGGATTATGGTGACTCAGAGTCCAAACTTAGAAAGTGCTCAGCACGGTGCCAGGAATATTTCCACACGTGCTCGAGGGGCGCAGGGTGGAGGAGACATACAAAAAGACTGAGGTGGGCTGTGTTGGGGGAGGGGAGGCAGAGATTTGGGTGGAGCTTGGGCACAAGATGCAGAGGGCACATGGGGTGGGCACAGAGGGGGAGTCGGCAGCTGGTGACAGCGTCATTCTCTGAGCTCTGGAGTCCGAGATGATCTGGGTTCAGCCACTTCTTGCTGTGTGAGCTAACGGAGGTTGCTCAGCCTCTCTGTCCAGTTTCCTCCTGTTTATAATGGGAACAGTCCCTCCTTGGTCTGTGTGTGAGGATGAGGGTTGCAAGATGAAACAGGCTAAATGTGAATTTCAGATAAACAAGTACGTTTCCTTCTTTTTTTTTTTTTAACATATACCTCATGGGACATACTTACACTAAAAAAAGATTCCTTGTTTACCCGAAATTCAAACAGTGAGTCCTGTATTTTTATTTTCCAAATATGGCAACCCTAGTGAGATTAAAACAGATCATGCTACCAGTTCAGGAGAAAGACAAAAAAGAAAATCAGAGCTTGAGAGAAAAAGAGCAAGTGTTTAGCCCAGAGAAAAGTTAGTTCAGATAGAAGGAAAGATGGGAGAGGGGGAACGCCTCCAAGGGAAAAACTGAAATTTATAGATTATGCAATTTGGTAGTTGTGTAAAGTTACATAAAAGGCTACTGAGAATTGTGGAAAGATTAGCAATAAGTTCAAGGGAAATTGTGCAGATGGAAATAAATCAGGCATTTATTGATTCGAGGGAAAACGAACAGGAAAAACGTACAACATTATAATGCTCAGGTGTGAATAGTATTTGCATAGTCATAATAATGTCATCACAGAACGCTGATTTAACCAAAAAAGCACAAAATAGTAGGAAATCTACGGTTCTGGGATATCTTGACACATAACACAAGAGACTCCATCCTGCCCGATAGCACCCAAGGGTGGGGCGGGGCCTTCTCTTCCCCGCTGTGCAATGGGGCGGGAGCTGAGGCAGCGGCTTCCGTGGTCACTGGAGGGTTTTCTCAGTTCACTTGTGGGCAGTCGAGGGTAGTTTTCACTGTCTTTATTGCTGTGCTTCCTGTGACCATATAGACGACTGAAAAGTGTTAACTTCCCAGTGACCCATTTATACATTTGATTTGATGAATTTTGGGGCCCAGTGTATCCCATTAGCGAGGGGTTTTACTGTACACATAATGAATAAAATGCAGCAATATACAAGTGTTTACAACGCCTGTCTGTACAGCTGTGTACGGCTGTATATGCACGTGGGTGTTGTTGGATATTGGGAGACGGCAGGAAGGAAAAGAAGGAAACAGCAACGTCAGTGGTTCGAGTCCTCGCCGCCACGGAGGAAGTCAGCGTGCCGTGTCTGGCGAATCCAGAGGAACAACTAAAATAGTCAGCAGTGTGTGCAGTGCGAGCGGGGCCGGAGCTGGACAGTGTGGGGCAGGAATCCCTGTTTGACTTTTACAAGATTTTTATTGTGGTCAAGTACACGGAGTGGAAAGTTTGCCGTAACTGACGTTTGGTACATTCTCTGTGTTGTGCAGCCGTCACCTCTGTCTAGTTCCACGACTTTTCCATCACCCCAGAGCAATTTCCCTGCGGGTTCAGCGTCACTTCCCAGGCTCCTCCCCCCAAACCATTTATCTGCTTTCTGTCTCCGTGGACTTGTCTATTCTGGACGTTTCATGTAAATGGCAGCACACAATATGTGGCTTTTTTAACATTTCAAAACTTTTT